TGTTCTGTCACCTGCCACCACTGAGAAGAGTCCAGCTCCATCCTCTCTGGAGCCACCCCTTCAGGTAGTTGAAGGCTGCTATTAAATCCCTCCTCAGTCCTCTCTTCTCTGGACTAAATAAGCCCAGTTCCCTCATTGTCTTCTCATAAGTTACATGTCCCAGTCCCCTCACCATTTTCACTGCCCTCTACTGGACTCTCTTGAATATGTCCACATCCCTTCTGTAGTTGGGGCCCCAAAACTGGACACATTACTCCAGATGTGGCCTCACCAGTGCTGAATAGAGGGGAACAATCACTTCCCTCAATCTGCTGGCAACACTCCTACTAATGCAGTCCAGTATGCCATTAGCTTTCTTAGCAACAAGGGCACACTGTTGGCTCTTATTCAGCTGTAATCCCCAGGTCCACTGTAACCTCAGGTTATTTTCTGCAGAGCTGATACTTAACCAATTGATCCCCAGTGCATGGGATTGTTCCATCCTAAGTGCAAGACTTTGTACTTGTCCTTATTGAACCGGATGCAATTGCTTTTGGTCCAATCCTCCAATTTGTCAAGGTCTCTCTGAATCCTAGCCGGAAATTGATGAAGATATTGAACAAAGACAGCTCCACGACCAACCCCTGGGGCACTCCACTTGATACCAGCTGCGACCTAGACATCAACCCATTGACTACTACCCTCTAAGCCCGATGATCCAGCCAGTTTTCTATCCACTTGATAGTCCATTCATCCAACCCATACTTCCTTAGCTTGCTTGCAAAAATGTTTTGGGAGACCATATCAAAAGCCTTGCTAAAGTCAAAGTATATTGCATCCACTGTTCTTCCTGTATCCACAGAGCCAGTCCTCTTGTCATAGAAGGCAATCTGGATGGTCGGGCATGACTTGCCCTTGGTGAATCCATACTCACTGTTCCTAATCACCATCTTCTCCTCCAAGTGCTTAGAAATGGTTTCCTTGAGGACCTGCTCCATGATTTTCTAGGAACTGAAGTGAGGCTGACTGGTCTGTAGTTCCTTGGATCCTCCTCTTCCCCTTCTGAAACATGGGCACTATATTTGCCCTTTTCCAGTCATCCAGGACCTCTCCTGATCACCACCATTTAAAAGATGATAGCTAGAGGTTCTGCAATCACACCAGCCAACTCCCTCAGCACGCTTGGGAGTATCACGTCTGACCCCATGGACTTATACACATCCGGCTTTTCTAAACAGTCCCTAATCTATTCTTTTGCCACTGTTAGCTGCTCGCCTTCTCCCCAAACTGTGCTGCCAGCTGCAGTAGTCTGCAAGCTGACCTTGCCTGTGAAGACTGAGATGAAAAAGGGATTAAGTACTTCTGCCATTTTTGCATCCTCTGTCAGCAGGTTGCCTTCCTAGTAAGTTCAGTAAGGGACCCATGCTTTCTCTTTTCTTCCTTTTGTTGCTAATATACTTGTAGAAACCCTGCTTGTTACCCTTCACATCCCTTCCTAGCTACAACTCCAAATGTGCCTTGGCCTTCCTGATTTCATCTCTGTATGCCCAAGCAATGGTCTTATATTCCTCCCTGGTTGTTTGTCCAAGTTTCCATTTCTGGTAACCTTCCTTTTTGTGTTTTAGCTCACTGAAGAGTTCTCTGCTAAACCAAACTCATCTTCTAGCCATATCTGCTAGTCTTCCTGCATATCAGGATGGTTCACTCCTGTGTCCTCAGTAAGGTTTCTTTAAAATAAAATAAAATAAAATATATGGAGATGGACCTCACTGAGTGGCAATGCCATGAGCAGGAGATCTTTTCAGCCCAAAAGATGCCCCTCACTTTAAAACAAAATGTATGCTCGTTCCACATTCAAATTCAATCACCATGAGTTATTTACCCTGGAAATGCAGACCCCTGACAGGCTGGAGACAAGGCCAACCCTACTGGGAAAAGACAACATTTCCCAGGATAATGCCTAGCAGTAAAACATTAGCCTTTGCCCCATCTTTAGACCTGAATGGATTGAGACTGGAAAGATGCGCCAGACTCTCCTTGCAACATTTTAAATGGGGACTGCCAAAGCATTGCACTTGACTCTGCTGTGGAGTTGTGGTCTATAGACCAACAAGTCCCAGCAGGATATAAGCAAATTCTCCTTGGTATTAGCAGGCCAGAATCCTGGGGATCAAAACAGACCTTTGCATGATGAGACTGGAAGCTGTGACCAGCCATTTCTTAGCTTACAGACAATAGAAAGACCAACTGCCTGAAGAGGCAAGGCCCTCAGCCCCTGATAAATTTTCAGTACAGCCCCCTCCCTGGGCAAAAAACTAGCTGTAATTAGCACTGGTTTAAAAATCAGACTCTAATACACTTGAAACCAGCCCCAGTCTCTGCCTAAATCAAAACCCCTGCAGTATAAAAATGCATGTCCCCCTAGACTCCCAAGTATTTGAAGATAGGGGTTTGACCACATGTATGTAGATACCCGATTCTGCCTTTGAAATAACCCACTTTGCAGAGGGCCCTGACTGCCAACACCCCAGCATATTTGGAGATCTGAAGAAGAAGTCAGGATTCACGTCTAGTTTCAGGCTTAAACCACACAGTGGACCCCCATCTCCCTCACATGGGGAACTCAGATCCCAGATCCTGAACAGCCCCAACCTTGGCAGCATTTGAAATCTCAGGTCTAAATGTGTGTCCAGACCTGGTTACAACAGCAGCGATCTGCTCTTCCCATTAAAATCACTCAGGTTCAGAATCAAATAAGTCACTCAGGCTCAGAGTAGCAGTCCTATTGCTGCAAACAGATTTGATTAATCTGTGATTTGCTAGTTGCAAGATGTGGGGGAGTTTGGTCAGGAAACTAGTTTTGACTGGGGAGGCATGTTCTTGCCCCTGACAATCAAATGGGATTTGCTGTGCATCATGTAATCGTGGCCTGACAGTGACTGTGAGGGGAAGAGAAGCTGATCCTGACAAAAGGACAAATTTAAAGTCATCAAGCTTCCTTGTACTGAGCTCTCACATGCAAAGAGACCAAAAGTGTCCATTTGCTAAGGTAGACAGTACCAGCATGCAGGTCACAGTAAGGGGGAAAGTGTCTCAGAGGGGGAAGAGCATTGCAGTCCTCTGAAGAATAATGTTTCTGTCAGGCCTGTTTACTGCATGGAGTCAGCGAGTCTAGGCTCACCAGGAAATTAGTGGCCTCCCTTAATCAGAGGGAGGCCACTAAGTGTGCAGTAACAGAATCCTTGGGATAAAGATGAGAAAACATGGATGGGAGTGAAGGTCAAAGGCCAATGATGAGGGTTGCTGGGGGAGGGCACTGAGCAGAGAATAAATGTTTCAGTCAGAAGGTCTTGCTCTCCTGCATCTTTCCCTGCTCCTACTGCCAGAATCAGCATAATACTCACGTAGCATCTTATCAGAGGTGCCTGCACAGATTTGTTACTACGTCAGCGTGACTGCAGTGGCTTAAAGAGCACCAAATACGGTAAGTCTAAAGCAGGGAAAGGGAAAAGGAGAATGCTGGTTAATAAGCAAACGGATCACAGCTGATTCTGGGTCTATAGAGCTCTTCAGACAGAGAAAACAGGAAGAAGGATATATTCACTTTTCACCTTAGTCCTTAAGAAAAAAACAAAACCTAACTCCTATGGGACACAGGTGACAAAAATAAAGGAGAGGAGAGACTGGAAAGGAAGATACAGGAGCCCCAGAGACCATGCGCAGATTGATTTATGATGAATTAATTTAAAACACATATTCAATTCAATATGTGAATTCAAACAAATAAACCTGCCCAATCATCCCCTTTAAGAAAAATCTGCCTGAGCAAAATATTTTTGTCTCTGGACAAGTACTGGCATGAGGTCAGCTCAGGACATGAGTTAAGATCATCAGACCTAACCAACGGCCACACAGACAGCCAAAGACTAATATTCAGCAGGTTCAAAATGACTGCTTGGGAGGGGTATGATTGCTATCTGTAATTTAAAATACAGAGTCACAGTATCATAAATGTGACCGGTATCATGTATGACAAGTGTTATGTATTTGGGATACTGAGGGGGGAAATAAACTATTCATCCTCCAGTTAAACTAAAATCAAAGCTCTGGTCACCATTAGTGAGGAATGGAATCAGTGGAGACCCATCAGTCTTTGCCAGTCACTTCTCCCTGCCAAAGCCCCATTCATCTCCACAGACCAGATGATGGCCCAGCATGGCCTGCTGAATCCCTGCACGCAGAATAAAGGCAGAAGCCCCATAATAACATGGATTTCTGTTGCTATGGCGATTGCAGCATGACAACTGCAGAACTAAAAGCCGGGGCGTTCTGCTCTGCTTTCCTGCTACTCCCCCCCACCCTTCAACCACAATTTCTTTCTTCTCACCAATGTGCTGCTGAGGACTATAACACTCAAGTGGAGGAGTGAGGGGAAGCTTCATGATCCAGCCTGCTGCAGGGCAATAGCATCTTATCACAGAGGCTGTCAAGCTAAAAAACCCGTAAGAGGAATGATGCCCTGGGAACAGGGAGGAACGTGCTGGTGTATGAAGCTTAGCCTTCGCAGCAGTTTTGCAATGCAAAACCCTCCAGGGTCTGGAACAACAACCACCTTTGAACCATAGAGATGTGGGTAGGATTTGACTTGTGACACCTACACAGCCCTCTTCCAAACACTTCACAGAAGTAGCCAGCATCATTACCCTCTTTCTAGAAATGGGGAAACCAAGCCACAGTGTGGGAAGGGACAGGGAAACAGACACAGTCAGAGCTAAATTCCACCCTCCTTTGCACCCATGTGAATGCAGAACAGCTCTGTTTACTCTCCTAGGGAGCAATCCCAGAAAAGCAGACCACCTTCTGAGCCCGTATATCAAAGGTACGGCAGCACAGTCCTTTTACACTAGGCCACTGGGGCCAACCTGTTCAGAACAGGGAAACCCTTTAAATCCTGTGGGACTTCTCAAGAGCCCAAGTGCATGCAGCTGTACAGGCTACTCCAAGGAAACAGCAGTGCCTACCTGGAGCGCAGGAAGACGGCTTTGCTGGTTGGGAATGACTTTTATTGACACTGTCCCCTTGGTTTCTTTCTATTGGAAGGTGAAAGAAAAAAAAAAAAAGAGTTGAAGAATGTGGCTTCCCAGACATCAGCCCAAGGACCCCAGGGTGCCAAAAACCTTCAGCTGTATAAGACATTGACTACTTGAAACATCCCAAAGGCTAAGATGTTTCTAGCAGAGAGCACTAAGTCCTGGAGAGAGATGTGCTTCATTTAGGAAGCAAAAAGCTACTGGGGCACAGGGGAGCCAGACACACTGCTGCAGTGGCCAAAGGTATTTGCACTGTTTGAACCCCAGAACCAGCTCCAACAGCGTACACAGAATAGGGCTCCGAGCCAAGAGCAGGTAGAACGGCAACACCAGAATGAACTTGGATTGAGAAGCAAGTCCACCCCCAGCTCATCCTCCCCAGAGGAACTTCAGGGCCAAGGGGCAGCAATACCCCAGACTGAGGAGAAAATGCTGCTTCAAGTTACCAGTTAGTACCAATTCTTCCCCTGCTCCTTGACAGCAGCCTAACCTCTGTGGTATGGGCTAACAAACCACAATGGGAGAGGCTGGGAATGGGGCAATTGTAGTATAACTACCAGAACTCAAATAGAGATAGCTCTTCCCAGCCCCTTCCACAGAGGGATCAGCCCACCATTGACACCTGCATCTTCTCTGCTGGACCCCTTGTCATAGGCTGATTGTGAGCTCTCAGGATAAACACCCTTGGCAGGAAGCAGCAAGCTGACACATAAGTTATGATAGCCTGAGCTGCCCATACGCTGGAGAAAGACTTCTCAGTAGCTGGGCTAGCTGCTGCCTACTGAAGGTTGCAAGAGGCTCGACATGACCAGCAGCTGGAGACCAGCACCTGGGTGGTCATTACTAGCTTTACTCCCATGGGAGATCGGGGCTTTGTTCTATGGGCTTGTACAACAACAAATTAAAACCTCAGGAAAAGAACTGGAGCCCTCAGTCTGGACTGTGCATGCAGAAACCTTTCTGGGGTTTCCACACAGCAATGGCCTATACTGATACATGATGCATCCTTTCATGACACTAATACCAACCACAGTAAAAGAACAATCATAGCTTCTCCTGCAGCAGGAGGTGTAGTGACAACTGCCATCATTCACAGAGGATGTTGCTACAGAATCCAATGAAAGAGCAACCCAAACTTATTACTCAGGTGAATGAGGCTGACCCCACAAGCTGTTTAAAAAGAACGTGCAAAGTAACAGTTTGGAGGTAACTGAACTGAATAGCAATTGAAGAAATTTAAAATGAGTCCCGAGACTTCTCTCTTTGCCTCTCACGAAATTTATTAAAGAAAGGCAGCTCAGCTTTGCTGGCTCCAGCGAAATCCTATTTATAGATGTGGGTCAAATTTATTTCTCTTTAAATTTACATGGTAGGCTCAAGAATGAAAATAAATTAAATAAATACATCAAGCATGCGTGGCAAGGGCCCTTCCTCAAGAGCAGTACCCTGCAATACCTACCAGCATCTTCTGCAGCTGGTCAACCGAGTGGTTGTTCACACTCTGCCCATTGATTTCTAGGATCTCATCACCCACATGAAGGGAGCCTGCCAGTGACAGGAAAAATGGACCCATGAAATGCAAGAACAGGTAAGATGCGTCACTACTATCCCAGATGTCATGGAGCACACAAGTTCCCAACCTGCTAGTGAAGCTCAAGAATACTGACTGAAACCCCATGGGCATTGTCTTACAAGGAAGCCAAGAGACCCAACATCTCATACCAAGCTGAATATGGATTGGTTTGTTCAGCATGTTTCTACCAAAAAGCCCTCCATGCATAAGCAAGGATTTGGTAGCAATGAATATGGAGAACGTTGCTCTCCCCATTCCATATATATATATATTTTTTTTTCCCATCTATTTTTCTTAAATTTACCAAGCACCAAGGCTAGTCATCCTGGATTCTGATTTTACTTGTGGGCAAACATTTAATTTTGGAGATAGGCAAAATTACAATAAATACATAAATTAAAATTAAAATAAATAAATCTCAAGCTACATTTTAGCAGAGCCCTTTTCTGCAAACAGTAGTTTTGGGTTCTAATTCAAGATGTCTGTATGAGGGTCAGCTTCTGATCTCAAATATGCTGCTGTACAGCAGGAGGAAAATAACATCATTAGAGTTGTATTGGCCTTACATGAGTGGTGTATAGGACATCAGACTAAGATCCTTGTTTTCTACATGGGCCAATAAAACAAAAGAAAAGCCACCCTGTTGCAGACACAGAACACCCTACCGTGCACACAGGTGCCAAGAAGTGATTGGCTGTGTTAATCTGAAGTCAGGCAGAAGGCAAGCCAAGATGACACCTTAGAGAATAACTGGTTCAGAGAGGCATGTGGTTTCAAAGGCAACAACCTACTTCATCAGATGCTATGAATGGACAGGCTGTCCATTTCCCTTCAACTTAAAATTCTTTCTGCCTGTCCATTCAGAGGCTGATGAAGTAAGTTGTTGCCTGCAAAAGCTCATATCCCTCTCAACCAGTTATGCATAAGTGCACCAATAGAAAAAGAAATAATGGGCGTTTTTTATTCAATTTCTACTCGCAGGACCTCAGCACAGAACTTCTGCCTTGTTTGTGCAATTTATGAACAGGGATAAAGCCTTCCTTCACAGTCTCCAGATATGATTGATATCTAGGGACAAGGAATCCATCAGCAAAATGCACCCACAGGGTCCTAGGACATTTGCCAATGCAAGCCTGCCAACTGCTCCTGCTTCTTTCCCAACCCCCATTAATACCTTGAAGCCTCCACTGTGTTAATACACCTAACATGTAAAGGGAAGGTGACATGAGCCTCCTCGGTTTCAGACACACTTTGGGCAGGGAAGGGCACTGAAAATACATTTCAGAGCCAAGGACTGTTTAATCCCTTTGCTCTGAAATAATCCAGCTCCAAAGATGAATCTGACAAGCCATCCTGGGCAAGTGGGTGGTGAGTGAGGGGTTCAAGTCTCTGACTTCAGCAGGAGCCTTTGGTGCCTGCATCTCTCATCTTGGTCAGATACAACTTCAGATTCCAGCCACCTGCTGTTACCTTGTCTGTGAATCATGCCTCCGTGAAGAATCCTGGCCACCGTGCAGCTCTGCTTCTCATTCAACTTCAGCGTGATTCCCTAGAAGATAGGAAAATCCATGAAAGCCCCAGTTGTAGTGGGAAAGTCCTGTCCTGGCCAGTATCCAAGATGGTATGCCTGGTTTTTCAAGGACAGTCATCCCCAGGGCCCAATCCAGTCTGGACAAACTCTTCTTGCCAGAACAGGTATCTGTCAAAGCGTTCTCCTCCAGGCTCCTGGCAGAATAGACATTGGTCTGGCTGAGGCCTCCCAAGCTTGATATCACTGTGCACTGGCTGTCCCCCGCCCCCAGCCCTAGGACCTGGACTGGTCATTTTCTCCTACTGTTGGTGCCAGTGCAATGGCCTCCCCAATTCCTGCAGTCACAAGGGTGAATGCACTCTTGCCAGCTCACCATGGGCTCCTCCGTGACCTTCTCAAACTGGACGAGCCGTACTTTCCTCACCTCTCGGCCGTTCATGTGGGCTGGGCTGCCTGGGGCAGCAGAGCCGTTGGTGTAAATGTCTTCAGTCATGGTGTTTGGCAAGGGAGTGACAGCCTGTCAAGGCAAAACAAAGACGGGGATTTAGGGACAGCCTGAGAGCCCCTGCAACATGCTCTTGTGACTGGGAGTGGAACCAGTCTGGAAATCCCCAGCAGATCCAGGACACGTCCTAAGAGAAAGACTGAACAGGGACCCCCCTGCACCATGATCCAAACTTGTCGCCTCTAAGGTGCATAATCTGCTCAGAAAACTGAAGCCTCTCTCACAACCAGGGCCAAGTGTGGAGCTGTTACCCAATCAGAGAGGCTAGTAGTACAGGCACATCCCTCCATTTGAATGGGCAAGCGCTGGGCATGCAGCAAAGATGGCTCTCCCTGCTCAAGTGGGATACTGAACCCAGAGTCACTCCTGCTGGCCAGATGAGGCACGACACTAGCAGAGCTCACTGCAGGGAACAGATAGCAGGAGGGGCCTGTCCACAAGACAGAAGGAAAAGCAAGCAAAAAGGACAGTAGCAGGCAGGACGTCACCATGAGACACAGACAGGCTTGATTAGCTTTGTTTCCAGGCTGGAGGTTTGAGAGGTGGTAGCACTTGAGAAAAGAAGGCATCAGCCCAAAGGTTCCTGGGTACGTGTCCTGCGGCAGAGATCTCCGTGGCTTTGTTACATGTCACAGTAGAAGCCTTGAACAGAAGCACGGTACAGCCAAACTTTACTCCTCGCTACACGAGTAGTGGATCCAGAGTAACTCCACCACAGTGGATGAAGTCACTCTGGATTCACACTCAGGTAAGTACGAGCACAAGCTACTTCTCTCCTGTCCAAGCAGCATAGTCATTCACAGTTTAATGCTTCAGCATGTTTCTTCTCCACAGCAAGCCACCAGGTACCACACACTAAACTTGGTGGGTAACTGACACAGGATTTAAGTGCATTTCCACTCATAGGTGCAGCAATATGCCAACAATTAACTCTGCTGAAGGATCTCCAAGGGAGCATTAACCAGCATCCCCAGAATTTCTCTCACACCGCCCAAATCCCAGAGCCAGCTGCACTTCCAACAGAGATATTGGCAGAGCCTTCTCCACCTCTGACATAATGTCACAAACTAACAGGACCACATAGTGATGATGCATCACAAGGTGGCACCTAAATGATAAAACAGCTGCTCCATGGGTCAATAACAAACCAAGACGCAGCCTGGAACAGATTCCTCAGAACCATGTTAATGGCACAGCACAGGACAGAGGCAGGACAGGGAGATGGCAGCAAAAAGCAGCAGGCTTGAGGCCAAGTTCTAGCAAGAAATGCTTGATTCCCCTCATTTAAAATGGCTTAAGAATGTATTTGATGCCAGAAAGCAGAGTGTGGGGGGAGGAAGGGAAATTCAGGTGATGAGAAACTGTCTTTCCAATGTCCTGTTCCAGGCTAGCCCTGTGAAGGGAAGGGAAGGGAAGTGGTGGGAGGGGATATGCCCCTCCCCCTCTGCAGTCAGAGCGCCCAGCCTGCCAGCAGGCATCCTCCAAATCTCCAGCCTGCCCACACACCCTGCCAAGCAGCAGGGCAGGCTGCAAAGTGAGCAGTCATCTGTTACCTGCTTCCGATTCATCACAGAAGCTATCTGACCCCCGTGCTGCTTGAATCCTGACAATCTGGCCATTACTTAAATCCCAGCATATGCCTCAACTCTCTCCCCACACCCCATTCCAGTCCCACAACTCCCTGGACCACCAGCATGATACTCTCACTGCCCCAAATGGGCATGGTCCCAGCCTAATGATGCTTTCCAGATGAGGAATGGAAGTCAGGTTCCAGTCACCAAGTCAGGTTACAGTCTCCTGTGCAAAGCTCTGGGGTCACTGGTCACAACTGGATCTCAAGGATATTGCACAAAGCACCAGCCTGAATCTGTGAACAGGACACATAGGGCTAAAATCATCCCGGGGGGGAATGGGGATGCTGCTGTGGTGCAGTCAATGCAACTGTAACACCACAGGGGCTCTGGGAGGTTGCAGCATGGGTGCAGAGATGTGAACTCGATACACAGAATTTAGACCACAGCATCTGCAGCACTGCCAGTGGCTTCCTGCTAGGTAATGACCTACAGCCACTCCTGTTAGTCCCATCCTAGGCTTCTCCAAGCTCTAATGTTCAGCCTTTACTGTAGTTCCTGACCAGCTCCCTCACACAGCCCTCTGCCAATGCACCTCAGCCCTGATCAACAGCCAACCAGCCCTGGGCACAGTGCTGGTAAGCCTCTCATACACCTCTCCCCTATACCCAGGACTATACAGTGTTGCCTCACATAAAGCAAACACTCCCAGATGTCCCGACTAGATATTCCTCCACTGGCTTTACTGCTGCATTAACATTTTACCAGCTGCACAGAGCAACCTTTCCAGGCCAAGCCCATTAACCTCTTCTGGTGTTGAGGTGGCAAAATGCATTTGTGCTAATGTTAAGGAAAGTAGAACACCTTCCAGCTAAGACCTGGGGGCTGGCAGGTGAGGGTAGTGAAGATCTGCAGCTAAATCAGAGATGTATAGCAGTGCTTTCATGAGCTTGTGCTCATTTCATCTGATGCAGCTAAGAAACTTCAGAGGACCAGTTGCATTCTGCATGCTAGTGCCAGCACCACCCCAATCACAATCCCCTTGCTCCAAGGTGCTGATCACTGCCCTTGTCAGCTTTACTCCTGCATGAGTGACTCTGTACACTGTGTCCTAGCAAGCAGAATGAATTGCTCCTTTCCCTGTGGTGCAATCAGCTACTGCATCCTCCCCTTAGGCCCTGTGGACCCATATTAGACAAACAGCCCACACCAGACACCTTGGCTGGTTCCTACCTGCCATCTCAATCAGCACTACAGCCATTCATCACCCCTAGTGGAATTCTCTCCACAGAAGCAGCTGAGATACAGGGACTCTCTCCTTGCTGGAGGGATGCCCAGCTGCAAGCACCAGGCACAGCACTTTTTGCATGCATCCTTTGCCGGAAAATCTCTCAGGACCACCACAAATTACGCAGGCTTTCTAAAACAGCACAAGGCAACTTCAAGAAGCTGGCAGGCATTTCAGAATGAGCAAACAACAGACCCCAGTTGGGTCAGAGAGATCTGAACCTTCGACCTTCAGGTCCAAAGACACAAGTCTACCGCTCCTACTACAGGAAGAGTTCCCCTGATAACTGCAGTAATAAGATATTCACATGGGCCAGCCACTAGAGGGAGACAGAGACCTGCACTGTGCCCGAGTAGGTTACCTAAGCCTCATCTCCCCCTAGACACCTGCATGGCACCGGGAGGTAGGGAGCACAGAAAAACAGGGCAAACTCCAAACCTAAAGTGCAGGACAGGCCGTTGAGGAGTGAGCCCTGTAGGAGCCCCAGAATGGGTATGCAAAGGCAGGCAGGCCAGCTTGGGGATGGAGTCCAGCACTGAGATAACAAGGGAGCTACAAACCAGGGCCAAAGTGCGATGCCCAAGCTGAGCACGTACCAGGACCAGAATCCAAAAGGGAGCTGCTGGCCAGGGTTGAGAGGCCCTAACGAATCTAATTTATTTTTAAATAAACTCTTTTTGAAAGAGCCAAAAAACCCTTCCCCTGGAAAATAAAAATAGCCAAATGGCTTACTGCTGCCAAACGTGTTATATATACAACAAAAAGCTGTGTTAACTGGCACCTTACAAGCCAACATGCTCTGTTAACCAGCATGCCAACTTGTAAGGAAAAAGTGAAACCAGAAGTGCCCACCATGGCACTTCTGGTTTTGTGAAGCCCCCACGGCCTGGGGGAAAGCAGCCTGCACTGCCAACCCCCACAGTCCCCCCGCAGGCTGCGCAGGTCCCCCCTCCCTGTCCTTCGGGGCCCACAGGAGGGGCGGCAACACCCCAGATGCGGTGGCCCAAACAGGCAAAGACGCCTGTTCAGGCCACTCAGTTATTTGGCATATTTTGTTATCCGGCACCCTCCATTCCCTATGGATGCTGGAAAACAAAGCTTTTACTGTATATATGTATGTGTGTAGCCAAGTTACAGGGTCTGTAAACTTGGCCACACGTGACTATGCTGCACTGAGTCTTCACTGCTGCATCTGGGTCCTAATACATCTGGCCTTACAATCTATGAATATATATTCATAGATTGTAAGGCCAGAAGGGACCTTGGAAGATCATCAGGTCCAGCCCCCTGCACCAAGCAGGAAAGATAACTGGAGGACCCCAGTAAGGTGACTGTCCAGTCTCCTCTTGAAGATTTCCAGGGTAGATGATTGCACAACCTCTGAAGGGAGCTTATTCCACAGGTTGGATACCCTGACTGTGAAGAAGTTTTTCCTATATAAGTTGGCCATTCATGATTGTGCTCCACTGCATCTGGGTGACACACACACACACACACACCAGTGAAGACTCAGTGCAGCACAATCATGAATGGCCAACTTGCAGATCCCTGGAAAGCATGCCTTACACTAGAAGGGATAGCACTAAATTATCAGATGGTGGAGCTGGGTCTGCCCCCCAAAGGAGGCCTTGCCAGTTGGAGAGGCACAGATGGAGACCACCAATTGGACCCGGGCTCAGAGGGAAGACATGTGATGGAAGAAGAGGCAAGATACCCAGTGAGATCCCCTTTGATCCACTACATCCATGATTCTCAACCAGAGTGCCCCAAGATCCTTTCAAGGGTGCTGCAGGGTGCCACCCAACAGTAGCATTGTTAGGCATGCAAACTTGACTGACAGTATAAACCCAGAGGTTTCCAGTAAGAATCCAGAGTATCACAAACATTCTGATCAGTTGTAGGCTCTGAGGTCTTTGCAACAAAAGAATTGCTCTATTATTTTTCTGTAGTCAAAAAATGAGTGAAAACAAAAAGCCTGAATTTTCTAAGGGGGGCCTAAAGTCTATTGAGGAATGCCTTAAGTCTAAGAAGGTTGAGAACCACTGCACTAGGTACAGAACAGGGGAAGGAAACAGAATCCCTTGCAGAATACACTGCTGACTGCTCCCCTCTCCCCAGCTTTGCCCTCCTCAGCACAGCCAGTGGCAAGAAGT